TGCGTTAAGCTTGATTGATTTCTTTGGCAATCCCAAGCTTCAATTGGTACCACATAGCAATGATATTGGATCGGGCGGTCGTGCGAGAGTGAAAGACAAACCGTGGCTGTAGGGAGTGAACAAACTTCCTGAAGCTGGGCCATTCAGCAGACTTGAAAGGGAGTTTGTGGGCAACTTGCATCTCGGCGAGGAGGGCTCGAGAGGTATTTTGATTGAAAGTCCACATGGGGTCCACAGATGCCTCGCCCTTTTTGGTGAAAGTGATGAGGGACTGCTTTTGCTTGGTGCTGGCGTCTCGGCAGTTTCGGAAATGTCGCCAGAGGTGGTTCATGCCGCTTGTGGACTTGGCTGATAACAGCTTCTTGCAGTATTTGCAAGTTGCTTTCAATGTTTCACCTAGACAATGGGTAAACCGTTAAAGTATTTAACATTAGTATGAATTTCTACGGATCAATCATGATCGGATGAGATAAGATGGAAGGAAGACCAGACCTTTGCCAGATTGATGGAAGTGGGCCCAGATATTGCTGGTAGTCTTACGTTGAGTCCCTTCGGAGTTGCTTGGTTGGGAAGCAGTAGGAGTGGCCGTTTGCGACACTAGATCAAGATGGAAGTTGGTGTTTGCGTTGGAAGCCTGATCGGCATCAGCCGTGATTGGAAAGGTATTGGTGGGGACCACGGCTATGTCCAATTCTTCTTGGGAGACTGAGGAACTGCAATCCGAGTCTTGAGGATCGGTCTGGGTGGAGGGTTCTGGTTGCCTGATAGTGGGAGTCTTACGCTTACCGCTACGAGTCCTTTTTTTCAGGGCAGCCATGGACATGATATCTGGGGTATGTCACTGTGGCGTGTAAATCCAATCGTCCTGTGTTGGATTGGCGATGGTGGAGTTAGGGCAACAGGGCCATATCAGAGTTTGCACAGCCATGTCGGGCCAATACGGGCTTGCCGGGATGGCCCGACACTCCCCATAGGGTGCCCATGCCCGACCTGCCGCCCACAGTGGGTACCCCCGGGTCGGGCTAAAAAAAGAAAAAAAACCCAGAGACCTCCCCAAACCCGCCTTGGGCTCGGGCGCCTGGTGGGCACCCCGAGCCCAGTTTCACCCTGAGTACTGATGTGAAAGTTATTGTCTTTGTCCACAAAGAATCCTGAATCATCCGTATCTTGATTAGGTACACCATTTGCTCTAGTTTGATTTTCGGTCTTGACATCCACTAGAGTGTGTGAATCGTCAGAAATATTGTCTGAATTGATGTTTTCAACGCTTTCATTGATAAAGAAACCCCAATTGTCTGAATTGTTTCCTTCATTGATAGCCTCAGCACGATCATCTTCATCATTCTCAGAATCTTCAATCGCATTCAAGTCTTGATTCTGAAGTTTCTTCAATGATTCAATTTGATCATGAATCATTTTCTGAATTTCATTCTTCTTCGTGTTGACGTCAGTTGATCCAGATGGATAATTAGAGCTTCACAGATGATTTTTAGTCGGAGCAACGCTGCCACAGATACGGTATCTGCCCGTATCTGCCATGTATCACTATGTATCTGAGCCCCAATAAAAAAAAAATATCTGACCAATCTGCTTTTATTTGCTAGGAGATCAACAAATTTGGCTTTGGCCATGCAGCTTTGCAGAATTCTCCATGATACACACAG